ATCAATAAGGACATTATTAGTATAGTTATATAGCTGTGTTTCACACGTCCTAAATGTGGAAGGAATGGTTGAACATACTGAGGCACAGAAGATCTGAAAAGAGATTAAATAAACTTTTAGTGATTAAAAGCAACAATGTCTAAAATGAAAGCTAGACCAGACATCATTAGAGGCAGATTCAAAACTGCAGAAGAAAAGTCTAACAAGTTGGAAGGTGTAGCAATAGAAATTACCCAAGACAAATAGCTTCCAAAGGTTATTTCACTACCATCAAAGACAAGTATTTTAAAAGCCTAAGTTCTATTCATAGCAGGAGAGTAAAGCAGACACAAATAGCAGGTAGCTAGGAGTATCTATCTAGAGTTACCTGTAGTCAGCTCAGTCCACCTAACATGGCTGACAAGGCATTATACAAAAATGAGAAAGGTGCTCTGTGAATTCATGGCTTTAAGATATGAGCATGGTGCCTCTACAAAGCCTTACTTTCCCCATGGGTTCTCTCAACTAAACAAACTGATCTTTATGTCATTTCATAATACTTGTGACTAACCCAGAAAATTAGACAATGTTGTCTTTGTGCTTACCGACACAAGTCTTCATGTCTTCAGAGGCCATGAACCCATCATAACATAAGCAGCGGTACTCTCCGGGTATGTTTGTGCACTGACCGCCATCACAGATATTGGGGTTATCTTCACACTCATCGATGTCTGCAGAGGATAAAACCAAACACCATACGTTGTAGATTCTAACTCCACTATTCAGTGAGGAACCAATGACAGACCCAACTCAAATAGACTCAGCCCACTTGCTGAATGAATTATCTCCCACATCCAAATGAAGCTCTATATAAATCACCTCAACAGGTTGGACTGGGCCAAAACGGAGACACCACTTTCAAAACTCATAATTTAAAGCTTAAGGACACAATAGACCCACACTGACCTAAAAGACTGTCACTTAATCAGAAATTTAAACATGAATTTATCATTCAAAAATAATTATGATCCTATGAATTTTCTCATGTTCTCTCTGCTTTACTAATTTTTAAAATAAAAAATTGTTTGAAATCAGCATGTCTACTCAAATGTACTTCTAGTAAATATATTTATTTTCAACATTTATTTTTAATAGTCAAATTTACACGCTTTATTTTCCTAGGGAGAGTTTTCTAGGTCAAATAAAATCACTGTGATTCCTAAGCCCTGATTCTCTTCTTAATGAGAGCTAAAATCAAAGTCTGTATCACACACCCCCCTCTTCATCTCTTGGCTTCCTGGCTCTTCCAGCACAAGGTGGAAAGACAGAGAAGAGTGGCTCTCAGACTTTAGCACACATCCAAACATTTAGAAAGCCTATAAAAACACATCATGAGATGATCCAGTTGTTTCTGATTCAGTATATCTGGGACAGAGCCTGAGATTATGCATTTCTTACAAATTCTTGGATGCTGCTGTTGCTGTGGGTCAGAAAAACATACTCAGAATAGCACCGAATTATGTTAAAGCCCCAGCTCTCCAAAATTCTGTTTAATGAAGAAAGTATTTTCTATTCCATTTATTACGTGCCAGATGCTGTGCTGAGATCTGTACATGTTGTTCTACATTTTCTAGATGAAAAATCTGGTGCTAAGTGTCTTTCTTAGAGACACACAGCTAAAATAAGCGACAGGCAAGGGCATTGATCCCAAGGCTGTCTGACTCCAAAGCCTAGACCCTGAGCCATTCTCCCTAGGGGCCTGTTTTGATTTCATCCACAGCCTACAGCCACTCACCTGTGCATGATCTCTGGTCTGGCATTAGTGCGAATCCTGGTTGACAGCTGCACTCGTAGCTGCCTTCAGAGTTTGTGCAGAAGGTTTCACAACCACCGTTCATTATGCTGCATTCATCAATGTCTGAGAAAGAGAAACAAGCTCAGCTTCTTTTATGATTCCAACATTTACCCCCTCCAATTGTTGAAATTTAATCACCATTGTAAAATTATTAAGAAGTGGGACTTTGAAGATGTAATTAAGCCTCAAGGACTCCACCCTTGTGGGTACCATTGGTGTCATAAGAAGGGTGACTTTGGCCCCTCTCGCTCTCTCTCATTCTCTTGCCCTCTCTCACATTTTGGTGCAACAAGAAGGCCCAGGCCTAGTGCTTTGCTATTAGGCTTCCCAGCCTCCAGAATGGCGTGCCATTGTGAATTTCTATCCTTTACAAATGATCCAGTCTCAGGTATTCTATTATAACACACAAAAATGAGGTCTGGGTGGGGAAGGTGCTGGGGGCATGGATGGGGGGAGGGGGTTCTAAATTTGATTAAGAAATGTTGTATGAAATGCACAAAAGCTCCATAAAAAAAATTTTTTTTAAGTGGACTAAGACACCTTCTTTTGTGTTTATGGTTGTGGCAATCCTCTTGGTCATTTGTTCAGTTTTAAACCTGAATTATGGTTTGATTGGCTGAGGTTCCAATCCTTTTCAAGACCCTGAGTTGAAATTTTGAGTTGTCCTAGGACAAACTTCAGAAGTTTGTGGTGATTTATGGTTTTGGGTGGAAACCATATGAGACTTGGCAGTTCCACATGGTGTGCACCCCAAAGCAAGCCCACACTGGCAGCATTTACAAAATTTCCCTCTGACTTTGGGCATGATAAAGCTACAGGGCTTTCGGTGCCACTCTTCACAGCAGGACTAAGCCTACAGAGGGCCAACCACAAAGCAAAATGTTGTCTCACAAAAACCCATACTTAAGGAGTGCCAGACTCTGCTTCAGTGTAAGATATGAATATTCTGCAGCCTTCTTGCCAATAGCTACTCTGAAATCTTTAGATGATCTCTAGCAGCCAGAGGCCGAGCCCTCACCTTACATGTTTCTGTCTCTTTCCATACCACTTATCATGTTTAGTTTAGCTCAGTGTTAATTCTCACTGGCTGATTTAGTGTATATGTGTTATAACTGTTCATTATTCAAAAATAATGCATGAAATTATGTATCTTTCATTCAGTTCTTCTTTAAACAGAAAAGGGAGGTGAGGTGTAAAGATTATGAGCCACCATAAGAAGATTTTACTTATAGTGAAACAAGAAAGATTAAGTAACAGCAACTAATGATAAAAATGAAACTCATAATATACTGCCTGGGTGCTTCAAAAAGAGATGAAATAAAATGAAGCATCAAATAGAAAGAAGAATGCCTGTATCAAAACTTTGCCATCCAGGGCTCAGGAACCATTGAGGAAGAGGGGCGGAAAGACTGTAAGAGCCAGGGGTGGTGGATGACCACAAAGAAACAGTTTTCTCCAGGAGACTGGGAACATGCTCATAGGAACTCACAGCAATGGTGACAGCATGCACAAGACCCATGCAAACTCAATCAGACAGAAACCAGCACAGAAGTGGGGAAACGGGTAAGAGGCCCCAACCTTAGCTGAGGAACTATTGGCCACTGATGACTACTGGGAGAGGATGAGGTGGTTTTCTTTAAGGGAATGAATGATGCTAGACAGGCTAACCAGGCTTCAGCGAATGGATGTACACTGAGGGACATCTGGGGACACGAATGTAGCTCAATAAGCCTTAAAACATGACAGAATGCATGAAATCTGGTGAGAAGGCAATTGAGAGGTGCAGATAAGGGATGAGGTCTAAATAAGCTCAAGATTTAGTGTATGAAATTTTCAAAAATTCAATAAAAAGAAGGCTAGAACTTACCCACACAGAAGAGCCTATCAGGAGTTGAGTGATAGCCAGGGTTGCAGGCACACTGATACTTCCCTATGAGGTTCACACAACGGCCATTGGGGCAGAGGTTCGCGCTCAGTTCACACTCATTGATGTCTGTTTAGAAGCAAAGAAAAACATATAAACACAAGCTTCTGACTCTGACAGAAGTGTGTGTGAACAATCAGCCTCATGCAAGTGATCTGAAAGTCCTCCTCCTTACCAATGCATGCGGAGATGTTTGGGGACAGTTGGTGACCAGGTGGGCATTCACAGCGGTAACTTCCCTCTGTGTTGTGGCAGATGCCTCCTCGGCACAGGAGAGGATCTCTCTGACATTCATCAATATCTGCAAAGAAGGAAATGACCCCTGTTGCAGACACTGGTGCTCTGCTCCTCTGTGCCCAGCCACCCCTTCACCAGCCCTCAGTTTCTGGGAGTCTCGGCTGCTATGGCGTGTAGCTCCCATCTTGGAGAACTACTATTTGCTCCACTCAGAATTCCAGGGAGAGAGGTTGTAACTCTCGCCCATTTGTGAAGCAATCCATGGCCAACAATTGATTGAACTGGCTTGGAAATATATAAAACCTTGGCCTTGTCTCAACACAGGACAACTTCTGGTGTTCATTCCTACCCTAGAGTGTCCCGTAGGGTCAGAGCAAGGCTGAGATGCATCTGAACACAGCTCATCTTCTTCTATACTATCCTGCCTCCCTGACATCCTGACAGGTTTCTCCCAGGACAATGCCTCAAAACAAACAAACAAACAAACATGTTTGTGAAGTCTCCACTTCAGACTTTGTTCATAGGGAACCTGATGCAAGGCAGGCACCTTAGTCAACAGTCGTCAAGAACTGCTGGACAGAGGCCCTGAGCTGGGACTTCTACAGCTTGTCTGGATTATTCTCAATTAATGTCTACACCAGGTACTGAAGTCACCTTTCAGGATCTCATAGCTGGTCACTGAAGCTACCCACAATCCTCCAGTCCCTCATTCTTTCCCCATATGTGAGTCTCCCTCTGCTACAGATTGCCCTCACTGGTCAGAAGACCAGGCAGTGGGAAGAACCTGGGATGCAGATTATATGAGGCTTCCAAGATTCTTACAATCCCTCTCCCTCTGTGCTGATTAGAGACACAAGCTTACCCATGCAGTTCTTCATCATCATGAATCCACTTTCATAGCCTTCGTCACACTTGCATTCAAAGTCCCCTGGGGTGTTCACACACTGGCCTCGGCCACAGAGGTCAGGAGATATGCGGCACTCGTCTATGTCTGCGCAAAACAGTAGACAGCAGCAAATGAGGGTGGGGATGACCTTGAAACGTGGCAACCCAGAAAAGTGGGGGGATTTTAAAAGCTGTCACCTCCCCTGTCACTGGAGGCCCACTCACTGACCTGTGCAGTTCCTCTCTTCAGAATCAAGAGCAAAGCCACTGTCACACCTGCACTTAAAGCTGCCGATGGTGTTTCTACACTTGCCATGGGTGCAGAGACTGGGTATCATCTTGCACTCGTTGATATCTTCAGGAAAAAGAAAAAATGTGGGGAAGAAAAGCTTATGAACAACCAGCCAGGAAGTCTCAAGGCTCCACATTTTAAAATACTTGTATTTATTATTTCTATTTTATGTGTATGAGTGTATTGCCTGCAGGTGTATAAGTGCACCTCTGTGGTGCAATGCCTGTGAAGGGCAGAACAGGGCATCAGATCCCCTAGGACTGGAGTTGTAACTGGTTGTTAGCCACCATGTGGTGTTGGGAATCAAACCTGGATCCTCTACAAGAGCAGCCAGTGCTCTTAACCACTGAGCCATCTCTCCAGCCCCAGTGTACTGCATTTTAAACAGAAGGTTGGAATGTCTTGATTTAAGGTCTCCTTTGACTTATCTTCACATAGATGGAACTGATAAAAGAAAGAAGTCAGGAGCGCCTCCTAAGCCCATGTGACCCCTGAGGAACAGATCCTCAAATGACCTTAAGTGTAAAAATTAATTGATTTATTTGGGCCAACTGTATGGTCTTAAACACCCAAAAGGAAAGTATAACCAAAGAGTAAAGTCATCAGTATATTTCTTTAAGAGTTCAAGGGCTTACACTTCCCAAACATTAGGCTTAAGTCTATATAAAAAGTTATTTATCAGGAGGCAGAGGCAGGCAGATCTCTGAGTTTAAGGCTAGCCTGGTCTACATAGTGAGTTCTAGGCCAGCTGGGGCTACAGGGAGACCCTGCCTCAAAAAGACCAAAAAAAAAAAAAAGTTATTTAGACAATTATTTCTCACTGATGATTTTGTTCCTAACCAGAAAGTGCTGCTCAAATGTAAGACTTCAAATCTTCGTCTCCAATACTGTAGTGCTCATCTGTAGCTAAGGGAAACAACCAGTTATTCTAAAATGATGGATAAATTTGCTTTCTCCCCCATCTATAGAAGCCTTTGAGAGGGAACTGACACTGATTCTAACCACTCCAACAGTTATCAAAATACCTGAAAGCAAATCCTGAATCCACCACTCTCGAGTCCAGCCTTGGAAGACAAAAGAAAAATGAGGAGGAACCCAACAGAGGGATGCTTTTGGAAGCCCTTGTCAAGAAATTCCAATGGACTCTCACAGGAACATTTGAAAATTGCCCTGTCCTGACCTTTTTCTAGTTCCCTGTCTAGAACTTGTAATGCTAATTACTCTCGCCTTTACTTCTCCTTCACATCTCCTATTCATGATTCAAAGACTCTTTTCCCTTTAGAGATAAGAGTTATGCAATTTGGGAGTCTTTTAGATAGATGAACTGAAGGGATACTCCAATTGCCTCACCCTGCATTCATGTTCAGCATGGAAGAAGGCAGAGCGGTTTGTGTCCCTATTCCCTATTGGCAATTTGGATAACCCCTTCAGAGGATGGCATGATAAGAATAGGAGGTAGGAACTGGCTAGGCAGTTATGGTAAAAAGACCATAATGAAAACTAGCCAGTTTCTTTTCTAAAAGTCAAAATGTCATTGGGCCTCTTAGCAACATACTCTGTACCAAAGGCCAAAAATTTTGAAAGTATTTGGGAGCGTGTATCTGATCCTTAAAAGGTTTTAGGGTTACCTCTTCAGAGGGGGAAATGTTAGAGCAGACAAACGCCCCATAAAAATACATAAATCAGTCTGCAGGGTGTGGTGGAGCACGCCTTTAATCCCAGCACTCGGGAGGCAAAGGCAGGCAGATCTCTGTGAATTCAAGGCCAGCCTGGTCTCCGTAGCAAATCCAGGCCAGCTAGGGCTACAGGGAGACCCTGTCTCAAAAAGAATAAATAAATAAATAAATAAATGAGAAAGAAAAGGTCTCAGCAAGATTCATCTAAAAAAAATGTGTCACAGTCTAGGAAACAGGACTATGTAAACTTGTCTAACCTTCCCAACATCTTCATTTTAGAAAACACTGTCAGATAAGCAAGTTGTGCATATTTGAACTTTTAGCACCGGTACGCTTCCTGAGTCACAGTGAGCACTTGATAGCTACTTGCCAAATGGAAGCCCACACTTAAAGCATGTGCATGGCAAACAGTACTCCACACAACTGAGGGAGCTGTAGCACAAGCTGCTCATTCTAGCCTCTTTGGTGTTTTCTTGGATATACCTTAAAATTGCTGTGAGACTTTTAAAATGTCATTTATATTTTAAATTGTTTACAAATAACTCATACTATTTTAATTTTTCTCAGTATTACATATCATTAACATAATTTAATGTAATTTATTAGAAGGCTGCACACAGGTGACCTGGATTTCCCCTTACCACACTCTTTCCAAAAGCAAGACCTAAAATCTCAAAAAACAGAAATTCCCTCCCCTCTGCATGATGCCATGAGAGAAAGAACTGGGGCCCAAGTTAGGAACCTCCCAGTTCTTCACAGTAATAGACTGCCATGCCTATGGATGACGCTCCTTTTAGTTTATTTAAGAGATATTTAAGATCATCTAGAAACTGCCTCTCTGGACAGGGCAATTTTAACCTTCAGGGTCTCATGGAATAATACTCAGAAAAAAAAAGAGTAGGAATAGGATGAGGAAGAGAAAGGAAGGAGGAAAGAAGAAAAGAAGAAATCTTTTCTTTACAAAGATAATTATGTGGTATCTATGTATTTAGTTCCCATTTTTCTGAGTTGACTCAGTTATGAAGTATATGGTAAGTAGGTCCCAGAATCCTGAAGAGACAACAGAAACTGAGTAGTCAACACAAACTCTACATGAGAAACAGAAGCTGAGGCCTCTGTGTGTAATCAGAATTCTTGGTAGCCATGGGTTGGGGGGATTGCTCAGTGGCTGAAATGTCTGCTGTGCACACATGAGGATCTGAGTTTGAGTCTCCAGCATCCTTGTAAAAAAGATGGGTATGGCTGTGTGGGTCTGTAACCTCAGTCCTCGGGACAGAGGACAGAGACAGGAGGACCCTGGGGGCTTGTTGGCCAACGAGTATAGCCACAATGGTGATTTCCTGGTTCAGTAAGAGACCCTGTCTCAAAAGTAGGATAGAGGAAGATACCTACGTTAGACTCTGGCCTCTATATGCAGACACATGAGTGGACACACCCTGCACATACATGTGCACATGCACATGTATACCACCCAACCACCACCCTCACAAAAAGTAAGGGAATAAATAGAATTCTTGGTGGTCTAGTATCTTCCCTCCATATCTGGGAGTAAACAAATACTGCGTCACTGTGCATTGAAGGTAAATCAATCCTAGAATTAGATTAAATCTATAACTTCTTATTTTGACATAGTTTTTAGATTATGACATAACAAGCTAAAATAATATTTGAAACATTAGAAATACAAAAATGAAATCTGCTGTATTTGGGCAGAGAAGGCCCGTTATTGGGTTCCTGTGCCACTCATCAGCAGTAAGAATGCCTTAAATCAACAGGCAAAAAGTCAAGTCTCATGGCTTTAACAGGTGGCATTCAACTTTCATGGGCATATTTTCCTTTAGTTCTAGATTAGGATAGAATTAAGACTGATTTTACTACTTAATGGGCAGAAGAGGCAGGGGGCCTCAGGGAGGCCTGAGAAGTAGGGGCTGGAGGGAGTTCAGCATTGGGGTGTGTGTGTGTGTGTGTGTGTGTGTGAGATGCTGAAGGAATGACCACAGCAATGGTATTTGCTGATAACAGAACTCTGAGCTCATGAAAAGGTATCTGCTGGTCTGCAAAGAAAACCAAGCAGCCACTGGGAACTCCATACCTTTGAAGAAAGGCTTTCCATTTGTAATATCTTTTGTGGCAAACCCAGGTCCTCGGGGACAGAGCTCCTCATACTCTGGGGTGTTTCTCACTGGGCACTCCTCGCACTCCTCTGTTCCCCAGGCTGCCCCGACAGAGCAGCAGCAGGCATCCATACGGTGTCGGCCGGCGATGGGCAGGGTGCACTCCTCATCATCGTACCTCAGGAAGCAGGTTTCCAGACGGATGTCTGTCAGAGGGAACAGAAGGAGACTGAGGACAGCTACTCTCCACTGTCCCAAGTAACACACATGCTGGTTTGCTCTATCCATGTAGACTACATTAAATTTATTCCTCAGAAGAAAGCCAGGGTATTTAGTAGGTATTCCTGCTTAATAAAGACATTCTTCATCCAATTGTGCTAACACCCCCCATTTGTGAAAAGCTCCTTTCCAACTGTAGGTATTTTCTGATAACGCTGCAGAGCGAGCTGCTGCAATGCTCTTTGGGCATTTCCTCCATGTGTAGACACACTGATCACTGAGGTATGTGTTCCATGATGTCTTGGCATCTCACCTCCAGTGAATAGCAAACTCACTTTAGTGTTGGAATGCGTCTGAGTTAGCTCAAACACCACCTCCTCAGACCTACCTCATTTTTGAAGAGGTAGAATAGTAGACTCTGGAATGAGGGTTAAAGAGGAGAGAGCAAACAAAAGCTATCCATTCACAGGGCTTGAGAGATGGCTCAGTAGTTAAGAACACTGGCTGTTCTTGCAGAGGACCCGGGTTCTGTTCCCAGCACCGCACAGTGCCTAACAACCATCCATAACTCGGATTCTAATGAGGGATCTAATGCCCTCTTCTGGCCTCTATGGCTATTGCATGCACATGGTGCACCTATATTCATGTAGGCAAAACACTCATACGTATAAATGTATAAATTATAAAATAAATAATTTTAAAAGTAATTTATTTTGAAAAAGTCAACTGTTCTTGTTAAATATTTTGTTCACTTCAATGTGTGCTCATGTGTACATTCTCCAGAATACAAACAGAATCTTCTATTCCAGCCCCAAATTCATGGGATGTGAGGAAGAGTAGGAAGACTGACAGGCCATAGGACAGAAGACCTGGATTCTGGAAATGTTCTGCGACTCACTGTTTCGTAGCCAAATCATCTGAGCCTGAGTTTCCCACGTCTGCTAAATGATGCTGTTCCCATCTCTTAGGAGCCGTTGTGAAGCTCCCATGAGAGTACGCACCCGAAAACTATGAAATGTAATTCAAATGCAGCTTTCTCTTCCTTCTCGTTCACCTTCACACTGTGGTCACTTGCTTAAGCGCTCAGGATTCCCCTGATGTTAAAAACTCTGAAACACCTGAGCACCCTTATGTCCAAGTTGCTTAGACTAAGCTATGTAATTTTAAAAGGAACTTAAATTAAACACCAGAACGTATACTGGTAAATTATAAAGGTAATTTGCAGAAGATCAAAAATCCTCAACTGCACAACAGACTTTTAAGCACTAGGATGCTCTTCAGAGTGTAGGACATGTGTCAGACATGTCCTACAGCTATATGTTATCGGCAGAGTCACAGACTCAGAAGCCGGTAATTCAATGGGCATATTTCTGGTGTGCGAAACTAGAGACAGAGAAGTCTGTCAGATACTACAAGCTGTAAGACCTTAAACTTGCTGCCCATGGAGCAAGAACGTAGTTCTAGAATCAGTGCCTAGTCTCTTCCATATCATTGAGATGGGATGACTGGGTGTGAGGTGCTCCCCTGGGATCGAGCAGTTGGCACGGCAGAGGCGATACCCTTTTTTACCCCTTCTCCCAAACTCACTTTCCAAAAGCAGTTCTGCTCCTGATTTCAACAGGTATTTTCTCCAAGAACCTATTTGGCCAGTGATAGGGCAGGCCTAGAAGAATGGGGTGTGGTTCCCCATTAAGTACAAATGTTTTCTCCACCACTCGCTGTGTATTCTGCAGCCCGTGGCATACAGGGCAGACCTAATAGCCAGGAATACCAACTGCGATGGTAGTAATGTAAGAAATGGTCATACAACAACAAAGATAAAAGTTTCTCCTAAATAATACATTTTTCATTCTTTTTATAAAGAGTGAACATAGAACCTGAGTTAGGAAGGTGGTTTGTCGAGAAAACCATCACAGATGCTAATGCACATGCTGAACTTCAGGGAGGGGGTCTGTACTTGAAATTAAATGTTCAGCTGCATCTTGTTAACTACGTCTTTAATAATCTTTACCAAGGCAGATTCTTCCTGTGACATCCAAAGTCATTCCACTGGGACACTCGCACTTGAATGAGCCCCTGGAGTTGACACACAGGCCGTTTCTGCACACTCCGGGGAACACTTCACATTCATTTATATCTGAGAAGAAAAGAGCATAATGCCAATATATCTGTAGAAGTTAATCCTATCTTATTCCACTCCTAGATTCATAATGATTCTCACCAAAGTCCATTTTGAACCCAATAAGTTTAAAACACTAGTTTGCATCCAAATAATTCCTATAAAATTTCTGACATGTCTAAATAGACACCAGACTGAGCCTACCAACCACTAAAGAAGGGTCTCTCCACTGGTCTCAGGGAATAACTTTTGAGTTTTCTAAAACTCAAAAGAAAGGGAATTCATTTGGGATAGGGATCGGGTGAGAGTTGTGGGGGACAGCGCCGATAGCTCAGGTTCCTACAGGTTATACCTAGCTTCATGAGACCAGATGTCTAGAAATAGAGAAACAGAAACCTGATCTTCCAAATTAGTAAAGAAGAGGTGGCTTGAGAGTGAGTGTGGAAGAATCAAATCCGGCTATGGGGTGTGTGAGCCGGTCAAGAGTGTCTGTTGAGCAGCACTGAGCTGAGGTGGCAGTCAACAGCATATTTCTCGCCATGGAAATTACATGGCCCCCTTATCCAGTCCAAGTTCATACGAGCATTCTTCATATACATAAAAATAAATGGCTTATAAAAAATCAGAAATACCTTCACACTGTGTTCCTTTAATTCTTGAATACCCTTTACCACATATGGGATCTGTGGGGGGAAAAAAAACCAAGATTAACAATATCCAGATTTTGCAGTTATGATACAAGAAACATGAAAAGGGACCTGGAGGAGGAATTTTACTTCATTGTTACAGATAAGTATGAGAAAGCATTTCCAAGGTTGCATGGGTGGGGAAGACCAGTAGTGAAATGTCTCCATAATAAAGCTCAGCTTGCAATAAAGCTCAGCTTGCAGGAATTGGTGCTTCAGGGAAGCAATACAAGGAAATCACATGTCCACATGGAGATAGAAAATGACAAACTAGCTGGGTGTGGTAAAGCATCCTAGCACTCAGGAGACAGAGGCAGACAGATCTCTGTGAAAACAAGCTCAGCCTGGTCAGTGTTGCCAGCTGGGTCTACAGGGAGACCCTGTCTCAAAATAAAAAGAAAAACAACGAAAGAAAAAGTGAAAAAGAAAAGACGACAGACTGGGCCAGAATCACATGAAACTGCTGCCCTTGATACGTTTCTCATCCAGGAATATTTGAATGAGATCATCGTTTAAATTTCCACTGCAAACTGACATATGTGAAGCACTGGGTTTTCCCTTTCTAGTCAAAGCTGATGGGATGGCTGCGGAGCCGTGCGCTGCTTGTCTTACCAACTTGACATATGGTACACGGGCTCCCCCAAGCAGCACCCAGGGATGAGCAGCACTGGGACTTCAAGGTGGCTCCATTGATGTTGATTTCACACCTCCCATCGATGACGGTCTGCCAGCAAGTGCCCTTGATGGTTTCTGCAGAGGGGGGTTAATGCTGGACATTTAACAGGATCTATATTAAAAAATTCAAACCTATACATTGGGATTACAGCAGGAATAGCATTATGAGACTAAGAATGTTGATCATTTTTAATGTCTCATCTATATCTAAACTTTTGATGCAGTCAAAGTCGCCATGCAGCATGGCAGCACCTAGTTTTTGACAAGCACTCAAATGATTCTCAGAAAGATAAATACCTATGCAGATGGTTTTTGTCGGATCCAATGTACTTTCAGGAGAACATTCACAAATGAAAGAGCCAGGGCTGTTCTTGCAGACTCCATTAATGCAAGGACTTGATTCACATTCATCAATGTCTGAAACAAAACCAGGTTTCCATCACTACTGAAAGCTAGTCTTAGGCATAAAATGAGCACCTCAGCTTTGGCCTTAACTGGTGCCTCATATTAGTTAGTCAGTAAAGCTGACCTAAATAGCTTTTTCCAAACTAGAAGGAATATCAAAATACTAATTGAGTACATCTCTTTAGTATAGAAATTGGCACATGAGTGAATCTTAATTCAAAGAAATCTGGAACAAAATTATGAATTCAAAGGACATCTGCATAACATTTTATTTATCCATTAAGCAATGACAAATAAAATGCCAGCTAAAGTCAAATGCAAATGAACAGTTTAAAGTTGCTACTAAAGGGTGAGTAAAATGTCAGTTGCAAGTAAATGCCATCTGTGGCTAAAGCTCGTACAGAGTCATTTAGAACCAGAAAATTTTAATTAAATTGGCTTACTTATCTAAAAATAGACGATAATAATTTATTCTTATGGTTTTCTGATGGCTTTCCAAAAGATACTAAGGAACATAATATAAGAACAAAAATATGATTTACCTTCACAGGTTTTTAGGTCTGGTTTGTATACAAATCCCTTGGGGCAGGTACAGACAAAACTTCCAGGAGTGTTTCTACATTGTCCGTTGTCACAAAGTAGACTGTTCAGCACGCATTCATTAATATCTGTAAAGTCAGCGAACACATGCATTGGAAAGAGCCTTTCCCTCTCATGTGGTGTCTTTTTCCTTTTACGTTAGGTCTTTAAGTCATCTGGTATGATTAAGTCCACCAAAGAGGCAAGACTTTGGTACCATTGGTTTTACCAAAGTAGGAGCTGGATACCAGCTTGTCTAAACCAGGTATATGCAAAGCCTTAAGTTACTGTATGTTACTTAATTCTCTTCTTGGATTTTTCTGGAAATAATTAATCTTTACACTTGTAATTGCTTCATAGTGTCAGACTTAAAGGAACTAATCTTACTGGTTTAAGGAACTAAATAAATAGAAAGCACCCAGGCATGATGGTGTATGTCTATAATCGCAGCCCTTGGGAGGTAGAGGTCATGTGAAATTACATGGATGACAGCTGTGAACATACTTAAAAGTGCTTAAAATGCAAGAAATTAAACATGAAGTTATAGTACTATCGAGCAAACAGCATGCTAAAAAAAAAAACCTATCAAAACAACACAGGGAACACCACTCCCCCCGCAAAGAGCTCCAGACACCAGATGGCTTCCCACAATGGGGGAATGGAACAAATGAAACAGCTTGATGGCCAGGACTAGGTGAGTGAACGCTCCTGTTCTGGGTCGGAACACATCATGGCTCTGATGCTGGATGGGTGACAGTAGCATCCAGCATGCAGCAAGTTATTATATTTGAAAGACTACGACCATAATGAAAGACTGAAAAAGACTTTTGTGCTTATTTCAATCTGTATGATCTTGGAACAATCATATGCTCCCAAACTAGACCAGTTCCTTAAACCAGTACCTTTCCAACCTGGCTTCTAAAATGCCATTAATGGCAAAAACAGGATATCCCTAACTCCAAAGCCCTAAAGGCCTTCAGGAACTAAAAGAGGCATGCTAATTTATATAAAAGTTTATTAATTTTCATTACATTCATAAAGGTATATTTGCTTATATACAAAAAATGTATTTGTTCTTCAAATTGAAAAAATACACTCTGACATTTTAGTTTGGGCATATTCCTATCTTTATCCTAACTTTTCCTATATGAGTATCTTGGTTTTAGAAGGTCAGCTTCAGGAAACCAGAGGCAGCGTGTCACTCCAGATAGAAAAGGGTTTTCAGAAAATACTGCTCTAGGCAACTGAGGCATGTTGGAGAAAAAATGGCCTATGTCGAGCATTTTATTCCAAATAAAATGATTTACTTAGTGACTGATTGCTTCATTAAAGGTTGCTATCACATGAAAAAAAAGGTGCTTGTTAAACTTAACAAAAAATAGTTACTACTAAAAATAATCTGTGCTTTCTCAGATTAAATCTAAAGTGCAGAGGGAGAACTGTTTCTCAGTAAAATAGGGCTCACTTTGTAGTCAAATGAGAATGGCTCCAAACATTTGCATTCTGTATTTCTAGGCAGCTTCCCTTTTATCGGGTGAATCTGACATACGATGATTTGTAGTTATCAAGAAATGTCTTGGAAAGCAGGCGAAGCTTCTTACCAGCACAGTTTTTCCCAGTTATGTCCACTTCATACCCTGAATTGCATATACATTTGTAGGTCCCACGGAGGTTTTCACAAATTCCATTTGGGCAAATATCAGGATCCAATGCACATTCGTTTATATCTGTACCACCGAAAAGCTCAAAGTTAACCACATTCTAAAATATTAAATTACAAAAAGCAGTACAATACATGATATGACCCCAAAACTTCTTGGTGGGGGTTTGGATTTACTTGGAGAAAGTTTAGTCCTTTGTCCTTACTGTAAGGTATTCTGAGTCAAATCCACCACCAGCCCTGGTCCCTAAGAGAAAACTGGCATCTGAGTTGCTGCTATACGGTCACCTATCACCCTGGAATCGAGATAAAGGAAATGCCCTGGATGGACCAAGCACCAGGATGGAAATGTGGATCAAGCACAGAGCCAAATCTTGCCACTGTCTCCCTACCTCCCTCCCTCTCCCTTCGGCCTTCCACATGGCCATAACATTCCTTTTTTTTTTTTTTTTATGTCTTTTTGAGACAGGGTCTCCCTGTAGCCCCAGCTGGCCTGGAACTCACTGTGTAGACCAGGCTGGCCTTGAACTCAGAGATCTGCCTGCCTCTGCCTCCCAAGTGCTGGGATTAAAGGCGTGCGCCACCACGCCCGGCTGGCCATACCATTCTTAATACCCTTAAAACAAGGTGATTATATCATGCTTTTGGCTCAATTTTTGCAAGTTCAACATCTTCAAAAGTATAAATTCAGGGTTGATTTGCTGCAAACCCCTCCCACCTTTGTGCTCATGCAAGGCCTCCTCCCTCTATGTGGGGAATTCCTGCCTTGGGCCTCCTCTCTGGTCAAAAGCCCCCTCAGATTCTCTGCCTGGCCCTCCTCTTCTGTGCTCTCACAGACTGAGCAGACCTGTCCAGTGGAAAAGATGGAGACAGAATGACAGGACACCATGGATTGTCTCAAGTCTGGGCCGCACTCTGTAAGCCAGGGTTGACTTTTCCTTCATCTCCAAGTCCCTATCACAACCCATTTATTCCCATTAACCATTTACCCATTATCAATTTCCTTACTTCACCCTCTTCCTCTAAATACTCATTTTCATCTACGCATAATGAACTGATCAGCCAGTCTACTTCTCCCCAGAACTCTCCTCATCAAATCGATTAGTTTTATATTAACTAGAAACCCCTTTCTCGTTCCTGTCTCCTTTCTTACCCTTGGTCCAGTTCTTTTTGACTCTAATTTTATTATGACCCCCATATTTCTCTAGCTCCAACACAAATATTTAATTTTCTTCCAACTCAGCTAGTTCCTTCATTTCTTGCTATAAAATTTTAGTGGTCCCGTTGTCATCTTATGGTGACTGAACATTCTAGAATACGAAGGGATTACATTTGATCCAGTCCGTAATCCTGAATTCTATTTGATAGTGGAAATCCACAGAAGGCTTAGGCTGATTGTTCTCCAGAATGAGCAATAACAGCCATCATGCCTTGTCTACCATCTGCATTAACTGCCCTGGGAGAGATGAGTAGGAACGCCCCACGCCAAGGCCAGCAGGTTCCTCGGCAGTTCTGTCGGGTCAGCTCTAGATATCCAGCACATCATGCAGTGATGACGATTGTGGAATCAGGCTAGACTTGTATCAGGTAAGTAACTGGATACCCACAGAAGGCCCCATGCTGCCTCTGCATATGCTTAACATAATAAATTTCAAAACGACTCCTTACCAGTGCCCGCTGACGTCATTCCTGGCCCACTGCTACAGAGCGCCTGATATTCCGCTGCAATAAATTATTAGATAGGAAATGATTCCACTGTTTGCAGAGAGGTTAATCCTACTCTGGGCTTCACACACATCATTTCCTCCAAAGTGAGTAGAACCGAAGTAAAGCCGTAATGGAAGAGGAGGCATCTCCTGGGGGAGTCACCTTTATACCAGGCTTTCCTTTTAAAGGCTCCTCATCATGGAAGAAATCAAAATGGAATGGTGCAGGCAAGTTATGGCCATTCCTGTGCAAACCACTCTCGGAAAAGGTATTTTTCCAACAGGTTGATTTGTTCACCAGGGAACACTTTACACATAAAGTGAGATTTTCCCGTTAAAATGTGGTTTCTTAGATGTTAGTAAAACTTTCTTTCACCATCCTGGGAAAGGTTCTGCATCTCAGCACTAGATGTTTTCTCACCACCATTAAGTTCTTGCCATTTCCCTGGTTCTCGCTGCAGATCCCTGCCCCCAGCCCCGCCCTGCGCATGAGAACATGACAGTGTATCTAATCTTGGGTCAGTGTTTTTTCAAATTATCAGGATATTTTATTCATTCTCCTTGATGAATTCCCAGGAAAACTACTGCTAAATGTCAACGTGGTGAGATTGTTCTGTGATAGAATCAGATATCTATTAAAACAGTATAACATTTTATATATAATTCCAACAACATTGAGGTAAACATAAGAGTGAATGATGAGATGGGGCTGGAGCGATGGCTCAGCAGTTTAGACCACTGGTTGTTCTTGCAGAAGACTCAGGTTTGAATCCCAGCACCCACATGGCAGCTAACAACTATTCATAACTCCAGTTCCAGGGGATCCAACAGCCTCTTCTGTCCTCGCAGGCATTGCACAACACGGGCACACTTACCTACATGCAGGCAATGCACTCATGCACATAAAATAAAAATAATAAAATATTTTAAAAAAGAGTGAATGATGAGAAATTGAACATTAGAATCATACTTTATCTGAGGCAAAGAACAAGGTGTTCCCTTGTCTGCCACAGTCTCTGACAGCAAGTCGCAGAGGAGTCACACTTGAACCATTGTGTTGAGGGGCAGGAGGGATGGGCCTTTCAGAAGCTGATCCTCCCTGCTGAAGCTAATGGCTCTTATACTTCTGATGACAGTAGATGCAAATGAGTTTCAAAAACATAAAATTAAAGATGACTCCTTCCATGCCTGTATCTTCTAATAAATGGTAAATTGCAAAAAGCAATAAAATATCTTCATTTAAAAAAAAATCATCTTCAAAGGGGCCCCAAAGGGAACAAGTGGGAAAGTGGCTGCCTCTCTATATTTAAAAGCCAGAGATTGAATCAAACAAAAGCAAAAGAAAATACCTTTGTCATTCTCTCACATCAGCAATTATTAAAACGGTCACAAAATAGATGATAGTTCCTGAAAAAGGTAAGCACCCCAAAGCTGTACGTGTTCCAGGGCATATGAACAGGACCAATGAGGGGTGTTTCATATGGGGGCACACACACTTCCCACCACAAATGATTGTGAGGACAAGCTGAATAATCTGTGTCTAGACACTAGCTAGCCTCTGCCAAGACTCCAGGAAGGTACACAGGATACCCTGGGAAGCCCAATGTATCCCTTCCCAGTGAGTCTATACAAAACAAAGATTGAGGATGGTGGCAGAAGGCTGGCAGTAGAAAGGCGTTTCCACGGTTCCACATACCTGAGTTCTGGGCAGGACATGGCTGGCAGGGCTCCCCAAACGCGTACTCAGTGCTAGCACAGCAGCATTCAGACTTGGTAACAGCACCGAATAAGGGTTTTACACACTGGCCTCTCTTGTATCCCCCGTAGCATGTGCTTCGCATGTGTGTATCTAAATGGGAAGAGGCACACTGTCATTTTAAACAGCCAAGAGCCCCCTCCCACATCAAAGCCAAAGCTGCCTTTATGTCTCCATTGCCCAGTTTTAACTCACAGAGAAGCCTGTGCTATTCAGACTGAACAAGAAAACCAACCAAATGCCATGTACACAGTTAGCTTCCAAACAGTGGAAAAGCAAGTCACAGACAGTTTCCTGAGGACCGTCATGGATAGCAAACTGTGAGGCCTTAAATGCTGGGATTATTTCTCATTCATTTTTTTTTTCTTCCTTGGGCATGCACAGAGCAGGCACTTAATAAATGCTGAATGGCTGAATCTCACACTGTGATCAGTAAGAGCTTTATTAGAAATATGACTTACTTAAAAATAAACACACAGTTATTGGATGTGTAAATTAGGTATACTTTCCAAAAAAGAGAAAGTTTAATCTGTAAAAGGTTCATTATATAAATCTGTAGATGTTGGTCAATTAAGCTGTGTTATTCTTCCCTCTAAAGAAGGAATTTCCAGCGTTGCCCAATCCTTTCCCAACTCAAAAGTTTACTGAATACCTTTAAGAAATCATTTGGATAAAATTCCTACTAATTCTTAACAAACCTCAGGCTTCCTATGAAGCCACATGAAACCATTACATTTCTGCCTTATCCATATTTCCTTTGCATCAAATACTTTCCTTAGACATTTAGTTTTCTATTAAAATGTTCAACATCAAACAGTGAGCATATTATACAAGCCAATTCCAAAGACTGTCAACAAAGAAAGGTGGGAAAAAATTGAGGATGGCTACGCACTTAGAGAAGAGGGAAGCAGAGACGAGGGTTCCCTGGTGCTTCCTTGAGGTTCTCTATTCCTAACATCAATATCTGATTTATGGAAGAAAATAACTGAATTTGTAGGATTATTGTTTGGCAAATATCCATTCTAGCTTATCTGTGAGTGTAGAATGCATTTGTTATTGGTGAGTTTTATTGATTGCTGGGGGTATGTGTCATAAATCAAGCTGTAGGTGTCTCTTACCAACACACACACGTCCATCCAGGCCCACGGCCAGTCCAGGGAAGCATTCGCATCGGTAGGAGCCGTCGGTGTTCACACAGCGCCCATTCATGCAGATCCCGGGAGTTTCACATTCATTAATATCTGCAAGAGCAAGAAGCATTTCTTTAAAATGAAGTGAATTTATCTAAAATGCTAACACGTTCATCATGATAATACTGGAAACGGCATAAAATGGAAAGTGCTATGCAACATCAATAACAACAAAGAAATGAACCGAGCTTGTTATTTTTCTGTTAAAAACTATTTTAATAATATTCTTCCAACACACCTTCTATCAAAATGAGAACACAAAGGCCAAAATGGAATTGGCAGCAAAAAGGGAAATGGTTGCTTAAAGGAAAAGGGCTTTGGGTAATGTATGTCATGGTAGCTATGCCAGAAATCTAGTCTGACAATACACTGCATCTCTGACCTAGGCAGGAAGCTTTTCCTTTGTGCACTCAACACCCATGCTATCCTTCTTGTCAGTATCCCCCTCTAGGGAACCCTTTGGAACAATTAACTCAAAATTAAGAGGCATGCCCTAAATCATGGGAGGAGCACCAGACAGAATGGAGAAAGCAAGCTAGATGACGTTGATGACAACTCTGGGCCAGTATAATACCGTGGGGAACTGCAACTCAGTAGCATCTTTCTTAAACACTGTAAATATATCCTGTTTGGTCTTTTTGAGACAGGGTCTCCCTGTAGCCCCAGCTGTCCTGGAAATGACTATGTAGACCAGGCTGGCCTTGAACTCACAGAGATCCACCTGTCTCTGCCTCCCTAGTGCTGGGATTAAAGGCGTGCGCCACCACACCTGGCTGTAAATATTTTATAGTATCATATGTATATACTTAAAAAGGTCTGGAAAAGACTTCATTGGATCATACTAGTGGTGGTAGAGGGGTTTTTTACCCATTAATGTGAAAAAGTAGAGAAGGAACCAAAACTGAGTTTTGGGAAACAAGGATACTTAGGACCAAGTTACTTTATAATAGTCCTTTTGCTGTATACAACCAGAATGTGTGACCATTCCCTTTCTTCTGACCTTAAAAAGGCAAACTGAGAGTGAAACACCTCTGTGTTTCACTGAGCTTGTGTTCTTTGGCACAAAATATATTCAGGGGGTCCAAGATTCCATGTTCAGATTGTATTTAAAACAGCAGTTATATTTAAGAACATGGACTCAAAGTGTTCAGTTATTTCAGGCATCTTTTTGTTCAAGTTCAGACCTACGATAAGACAGTAGAGACTACAGTCTGCAAAACAACTTGAAGGCTTTTCAGTGAGACATGAAGTTGCTCAGTGGGAGGCTTCAACTTTGAGGAAGGAATTAAAGAGACCACGTGGTTCACAAGGTAGGGTAAGGGCACTGTCGACTAGGCTTCCAGTAGTCATATATTTGTGGTCTCAGGACAAAGCACTGTGAGAAAAATCCCATCCCACAGCACGAGAGAAAAGTAGTCAAAAGGAGGAAAATCATCATATGAGAGTTACTCCCTTTCCTCCTTTCCTTAGCCTTTATCACAATGTGTTTTTCCCAGCTTTATGCACACAATACTGAACTACCTCCCCCGTCTCTCCTTCTCTCTTTGTCTCTATGTCTCTCTCTCTCAGAGCTGTCAGAGTGAACCAGTGCAAACATCACACTTTCACACATTAGAAGAATCCATTTATTGGTAAGACACTATTCCCTGGCTACCAGTGGCTACAAAGCCCATGCTAATCTCCAACGTCATAATGTCTTCTGAAACAGCATGATGTACAGTGCATACTTAATGCTGAGAGGCTGTCACCTGGGTCCCCACCTGTGGGCACTAGAGGTGAAGCTCGGTGTGCGCTGTGGATTGGCACGGACAGAAGTCCTGCTCACAGGAGGGCTTTCATTTCCGCCTGTTATTTTGTTTGGAAGTCTAATTCCATATATCCAGCGGCCACACGGTTCTCCTTCCTTTTCCACTTTCACAGTCTTAATTTGTACAATTGGATACTTTGTTTTACAGTATTTTACACTGTAGACTATTTCCATGTGGTAATCTCTTCCCATGTCAGGTCCTCCCAGCACAGAGCTCCAAATGCAGAGACCATTTTCCTGCTTCAAAACCTGAAAAACTCAACTGTTCTGTCTTCCGCTGAAGACAGACTCACAGTATTAAGAGCCACTGATGTGAAGGTCATAGAGAACATAGGTAAACAAACATGGGCTAGAAGCTCCTGTAAGTCTGGAGAAAGAGCATCTTGCCAAGGACTTAAGACATGCAAGGCTTTCTTCCATAACACCTTTACCAAAGCTGACCACTAGGGACAGCCAGAGAAGAGGAAGCCTCAAATAGCTCATGGTGCTGGCGCTGTTTGCAGCAGGAGCTGTGAACCAAGGCTCCAAGCACAGCATTTTAGCAGATTTCCTAACACCATTTTAGTACAAGGCTCTTTGAGAAGTTTGATTCTAGTTCATGGTTTGTTCTTCTGTTTTTGTTTGTGTGTGTGTGTGTGTGTGTGTGTTGCTTTTTGGGTTTTTTTGTTTGTTTTTGTTTTGCTCACTATGCAGCTCTGGCTGGCCTGGAACTCTTTATTTGCGTGTATTTGTGTCTGTGTGTGTTTTGCTTTTGGGGTTTTTTTTGTTGTTTGTTTGTTTGTTTGTTTTGAGGTAGGGTCTCACTATGCAGCTCTGGCTGGCCTGGAATTCTTTATATAGACCAGGCTGGCCTCCAACTCACAGAGATCCACCTGCCTCTACTTCCAAAGTTCCTATCTTGCACCCACATGCATCATTCACCCATCCCTAACTACGTAAAGCAGGAGATGGGCACAAATGTAGCCGCAATGACTGTTGTTAGGACTCCAACAGCACAAATGAAACCCCCAAGTCTGGCTTCAATACCTGAAGCAATGAGATTATTTTAAGAGTCATCAGAATACTCAATGGCCTCCTTTTTCACTTTTCTTCCTTTTTTTCTTATATAAGTTTATAAAGCTTTTAAAAATTACCATACATTTTTATTGTTGTTTCTTAAGATAGCTAGACCAACAGTGAGGTAACTATCACCGCAAATAAGTCTAGGATGCTTTTCATAAGAGGTGTAAGGAGTGGCCCAAGGTGGTGATCAAGACACCTGATCGTCCTCACTTCCCATCTGAGAAGGACAGAAGTCAGCTTCAGAAGGAAGACCTCCACATCCACTGAGACAGACTCAGCCTCTTCATTCGCCACATCACGGTGGACTTCAGGCTCCTCTGAGAAGACCCCAAATACCTTCTCTGAAATAAAAGCAGCCTCCTGGCCATTGACTGTGGCTCTCTGAATGTTTGGATGTAAGAAGTCGGGTTTCAAAATCGGACCTAGGGGTATTCATGCTACATGGGAAAAAATCTGCCAAGAAGGGATAGAGAGGAGAAATGCAGGCAGACTGTGATTTAGTTTTTTGGCACACACCTTTGCAGTAACGCCCATCTGATGCCAACTGGAATCCAGGCTTGCAAATACACTTAAAACTGCCGTCTTCGTTGATGCACATCCCATTGAGACACATGTTCCTTATGCTGCATTCGTCCATATCTGAAAGACAAAGAGGAGCGTGTTCTCACAGTCAGAAGAGAAAGTTCATAAACGAAGCCACCCTGGAAGACTATAATTCTGTCCTTCCACCTTCCTTTCTTTTTTGTTATTATAGCCTAAGGCTAACTTTCATTCAAAAGATGCTACACAGTTAAGTCATATGAAGCAGGCAGCTCAAGTTCAACTTGACTGAATAGAACTTGACAGGATGCTTTTAAGAAGCAGCCATTTGCAAACTATGATGTATTAATAGCCTCATAAGTATATTTATTTCATAGATTTTTATTCTAATAAACTGAAAATGAAGCAAAAGTCAAGACAAATAGGATTTTAAATGCACTTAAGCTAATTCTGGTTCTTTAGAAAGGTAGAAGAAAGTCTGCATTTCAACCAATTTTAAATATACATAGAAAAAAATCAATTTTGTAAAATGCTAGACTTAACTATAGAATCCAGCTGAGCTTCCTAATCTGTGGGGTCCTTTGATCACAGGGACAGTTCTTAAATTCATGGGCGTGTCTCAGGAGATGCCTGCTCCTCTTGAATGCTTAGTCAGACCAAAGTAATTAATATTTTTTCTTTATTTATTTTATTAGAAAAAAAAACAGATTTTACCCCAATTGGGAATTTTGGCATTAAACTTTTGAGTTGAATCACTGAGATAATATTCTGCCAAAAGTGTTTCTAAGAACAACTTTGAAATTCTTTCAGTATATGAACAGATTCTTGGGATCTCTCCTAAGGACACTGGAACACATGATAAGGAGCATGCTTTACTTTTTGCTAAAGGCTTACTAGGTGGAAGCTCGCCCTAATAGCCTTATTTCCCTTGCAAGGAAAGCTGACAGGGTAGAACAGCGTTTGAAGCATCCCAATTCAAAATGAAGGGATAATTCAGAAAGCAATATAAAAAGCCAGCTCTCGACACTCCAAATTTCTCCCAAACCTATTTCAGTATATGAACAGATTCTTGGGATCTCTCCTAAGGACACTGGAACACATGATAAGGAGCATGCTTTACTTTTTGCTAAAGGCTTACTAGGTGGAAGCTCGCCCTAATAGCCTTATTTCCCTTGCAAGGAAAGCTGACAGGTAGAACAGCGTTTGAAGCATCCCAATTCAAAATGAAGGGATAATTCAGAAAGCAATATAAAAAGCCAGCTCTCGACACTCCAAATTTCTCCCAAACCTATTCTTTAATGCCTAGGCACTGATTAGAGGGTTTTATTTCCAGACAGGCATTTTTAAACGAAGGAATTATGTGATTACAGAATGTGCCCATTTAGATGTGTTCTAATTTTTGTATAGAACTCCCACAATGTACAAAGTTTTCTTATATAATTAGGAAGCAAGGATATGTGCTACAAAGGTCCATCATCACCAGGGATTTTCAAACACCCATTGCTACCAGCATACTTAAGTGCTATTTGACATGCATAAATGTGAATTATGGCCGTGACCACTATGGAAATTTAGGTTTGCCTCTCTGATAGCAATACAGGAAACGTATTTGACAGTTTGACATAGCATTAGGCTCAGTCTTGCTCAACACTCGTGACACCAAAGCCGCAGTGAAGGACAGAGACACCGTCACTGCACTATTCTTACCTTCACAGTTCTTTCCATCCCGTGTGACATGAAAGCCCGCGTTACACACACAGTGGAAACTGCCGTCTGTGTTGATGCAGCGTCCGTTGTTGCAGATCCGGCCATTCTGTAAACACTCATCAATGTCTAAGTTCAAAATCAGAAAGGATGAAGCAATTTTAATGTGAAAGACATAATTATTTTCTTTCTCTCTCCCCCTCCATTTCCAAACTCATGGCCTTTGTCTTGGGTTTCAATTGTTTAATCATATTCTTTAACATAAATGGTATACCAAATAACATGGTATGTATGAGTGTCAGTACTTTAAAGATATGTAACGGAAAAAACATGATCATGCTAATTTAACCTAATTTACTTTTTTTTTTTTTTTTTTCTTTTTGAGACAGGCTCTCCCTGTAGCCCCAGCTGTCCTGGAACTCACTATGTAGACCAGACTGGCCTCAAACTCACAAAGATCTGCCTGCCTCTGCCTCCCAAGTGCTGGGATTAAAGGCGTGCAACACCATGCCCGGCCCCCTAATTTACTTTTTAAGAAGTATTTTATTTACTATTATCTTTGTTTTATGTATATGAATGTATTGCCTGAATGTATGTAAGTGCACCTGTGTCATGTGGTGCACAGAGAGGTCAGAAGAGGGCATTGAATCCTCTGGAACTGGAGTTACAGATGGTTGTTAGCTGCTATGTGGATGATGGCAACTGAACCTGGGTCCTCTGCAAGAACAGTCAGTGCTCTTAACTGCTGAGTCATCTCTCCAGACCCTAACCTAATTTCTATTAAGACTTATTTATATCTCAGTTCTATAAAGAAAAAAGATTCTTCACCATTTTCCAAATCTATTGAGTGGTATGTATGATAGTTTATACTAAACTTTGGTTGATGTCACTCAACACATGATTAAAAAGGAACTCATAACAATATTAGACTAACACAGAAAAAAAATCAGAGTAAAAGAGAAATGTCCCTCAGCCCTCCATCACACAACTCCAATATGTCCACCTGCCTTACAGCAGTTCTGGCCAAGTATTGTTTAATTGCTCATATATTCTTAGTCTCATTTATAACTTTATGACTGTTCTACTTCCCATACAAAATATTGGTTCTGTGAGGATCTCCCCCTCCCCTATTCACTATTGTGCTTAATATTATGTCAAAGTAAATAATAGAATTTGATATGGAAATGTTCAAAAATAACATCAACTCAAATAAGCTGCATCTGATCTCTAATTTAATAATTAATGGTCCACTCAGAATAGACAATAGACAGCAGGTAGCCTGAGTTCTCCGTTTCCCTCTGTCCCTAAAACTGGATGAACATCAAAGAGGATGAACACAGACTGCCTTGTCTTCCAGCATACAATCCTTTCCATGGGATATGTGGGCGCGCACACATATCCACAGGGAGTGGAGGGGGCATGTGACTGAGTGTGAGCATCCTGCACACCCCAGACAGGAATGTGCATTTATGGCCTGTCTCCCTCTTCTGTCTGCCCTGTCTGCATGATGCCTGTGGTTGACCCTCCATCGCACTTTCTTTCCAAGCAGATCCCGCCGTGGTTTCAGTATGAGCCATTGGACTAGCTGAAGCAGTCTGGGCTTTTCTTCTGTCTGATCTTTGTGCCAAAAATCTCTGATCTCTTTCTTTCTCTTTTATTTCTTAATCCTTGCTGAAATCTGTCTTGCTCTACACTCAAAAAAAAAAAAAAAAAAAGGTGAAAGCCACATATTGTAGAACAAGCTATTTCTTTTAGCATTCTATAATTTTTTTAGACCCACGGTTAAAATAAACAGGAAAAAGAGTTCATCCTTTTCTCTCCTCACTACTTTAAGAACACCATTGTGCTCTGGTGTCCTTCAAGAAACCTAGATGCAGAAAAGCCTGCCATTCAAAGCTGCCCTCCACCCCTTCTGTGTCTTCTGTCCCCTCCTACCCAGCGCCTGAAATGCGTTTTCTCACAGCCATCCAGAGGCTCTGCAGAGACCTCCATCTACCAAATGACACCAGTGTGCTCTGACACTCAGTGTAAATTTAGCACTGACTTGTAGAAAATAGTACCCAAGCTGAGTCTCTCAAATGAGGCCTCAGCTTGATGATGACCACATGCCTTTACCCAGACTAGTCCTTGCTCCAGGTAAGCCTGCTCAGTCATTTCTCTTTGATTATTTAGCAGTGAGGTCTCTTGACAGTGATTTCGTTTACTGTTGCTAATTATTTTGACAAATGGTTAACACATTAAGAATATTCTCAACTCTGCTAAATACCCCACCGATTCAGATTTGTGATTCAGTGGTAGGCTGTTAATAGAAGTGTGTAGCAATACTATATTTCCAGGGTTTTTTTCCTGCTTAAAATTGCCATTTTTTAGGTACTGTACCTAAATATATTGATGGCTAAATGCCTCCAAGTCAGAACAAATTCAGAGATTTTTGAAAGCAGTTCACAGATGGATATCGAACACACTACATGACTTCAATTCACACAAAGAATTTTTGCTTTTTAAAAAGAGGCAAATAAAATAATGTATTAGTGGATTCAGTTTTTACCTAATATAAACCTCTCTGCCTTCCTTATGTTTGATAGTGCTTGCTTATTTCTATCTACTTTTACCGGATTAATGATACAGTTCATTCTATACCAAATTTATAAAGATTTGTATTTCTGTCCCAGAAACCTAGTACATTGATATCATTTAACTAAAGGCATGCTGGACAGTCTAATAAATTTATTGAGAAATAAACCCAGAGAGAAATTTTTATAAGAACATTTATGGTAGTGCTTCTTAAGCTGGGGACCTTGCTGAAATGCTTATCTGATGAAGGACTAGAGAATTAGTATTTCCAAAGAGTTTTCAGGGGTACTGCTGCTGGCTGTTGACCACACAATCAGCAGGGACACAGAACAGCATCCTTACCCTCCTTTGTATAAAGAAACTACATACAGTTCCACAAAACAATCCTCAGCTTCTTTCACACAAAGCATTTCCACATTCTGGGGCTGGAGAGATGACTCAGTGGTTAAAAGCACTTGCTACTCTTATAGAAGACCTGGGTTTGATTCCCAGCACCCACCTAGAGGTTAACAACTAGCTGTAACTCCACTTCCAGGGAATTAGAATCTAACGACACCTTCTTCTGGACTCCTTGGGCTTTGCATGCATGTAGTGCACTAACATACATGCAGGCAAAACACTCATACACATACAACACAAATAGATAAATCTTTAAAAAAAGAATAACCAAATCCCTGGTTCCTAGATAAAAGATTAATAAGCAGCAGTAACAAGTCAAAAAAAGGGTGGGGGTCATAAACTTCTCCCAGGCACAGAAGTATGTATTAAAATAATTTCAATGTTTATCAGATTTTATGGTACTATCCTCAAAATAACAATATTTGGAGTAGGGCACGAAGACAATGAAAGCGGACAAGCATTTACGTTTCCTTGGACTCCTTCTAAGCAAAGTCTTCATTTGGCACAGATGCCTCCCGTTCCATGAAAGCCCCTTACCTCGACACTCAGTCCTGGTGAGTGTGCTCTGGTAGCCGGCTCGGCAGTGGCAAGTATATGAGCCCTGGGTATTAATACATTCTCCCCCAGTACACGGGTTTTTCTCACATTCATCAACATCTGTAAAACACAACACATGTGAGTTTAGAGAACCGCTCATAATTCTAAAACTATGTAGGTTTCTTTACATATATAAAAGATTTTCCTTTAAGAAAAATGATAGCACTATGAAAAGATCTTTTTCCTTTCCACTAAAATACACCGTGTGTGCTGGCTAGCTTTGTCAGCTGGATACAGACTGGGAAGAGAGAACCTCAGCTAAAGAAGTTCCTCCATCAGACTTGCCGGTGGCCATGTTTGCAGGGTATTTTGAGAACTTCTAACTGATGTAGGAGGGCCCAGCCCACTTCAAGGAGTGCCATCCTTTGGCAGGTGGGCCTGGGCTGCATGAAAAAGGTAACGGTGCAAGCCGGGGAGAGCAAGTCAGTAAGCAGTGTTCCTCCATGTCTCTGCCCAGTTCCTGCCTCCAGAGTCCTGCCTCGACTTCCCTCAGTGATGGACTATAACCTCTAAGCAAATAAACCTTTTGTCCCCAAGTTGCTTTTGGCTGGTCTTTCATCACATCAACAGAAAGCAAACTAGGATATCATGTCTCTACCCATTGGAAGACTGGTTAAATAGTGCAAATGTACTATTTTCATGTGCCATCTTTCAGAGAAAGGTTCCAAGCACATAGCAATTCAATACTCTGAGCCAATAAACTTTTTTTTTAAATTTCTACAAGTCTGACCTAAGAAAATCTTACTGACAGCCAGGCCTGATAGCACAGGTCTGTTACCCCAGCTACTAGGGAGGCTGGCACAGAAGAATCACAAGTTCAAGGCATGCCTGAGCAACTTAGTGGGACCCTGTCTTAAAAATAAAAATTAAAGAGAGATGAGGGCTAGGATATTGGACAGTGGTAGAGCACTTGCCTAGCCTATATGCTATAGCCTAGCCCTGGGTTCAATTCACAGCACTGAAAGATAAATTAGACAGAAATGATTTCTGTTTTTTTCAATACCAATAAAGTCTACCCATGAGTCCTGGGTACCAATACAAAGAAAGTCACCCATGAGCCCTGGGTATTAATCCTCTGCTATTCTGTTAAGAATGTGAGAACAACAGATGAAGATGGTTGCTTAAAGGCAGGCTCTCATCCTTGTGTCCCCGGACATCCTCAACAGGGTTAGTCCCACCAGTTACAGTTGCTTTAAATAACCACGCAGCCAGAGGTCAACTGGTTTACCTTCCCATAGTTATAAGGACACATACACTAAGGGTTAGCACAGGCGTAGTCCCTGAGCCACACACTTTATCTAGGCGACTCTGGTAACCTCTAGCAGAGTGTTCATACAACAGGGAAATAAAATGGTTTGAGAAAACAGGAACTAAAAGAACTAAGAAATGAATTTATTTAAACAAAGGAGTAAACATCAACTAGGTGTTCTTGTCAAATCTAACAAACTGATTGCCCTTGTGTTATATCCCCCTGCACTAGCTTAAAGGTCTGTGAACTTTCTTCAGCTTTTAATGATTGACTAGAAAAGGTTGGCAAGTTACCTATTTAAATTAGTAAAATGTTCAAAATTTCATAACTGAAATCAGGCTTTCATAAGGTACTGGTGAGGCTTTCTGTAGAATAACTTAGGTTTGAGTTATCAGCAGTGCCTTGAATATATTTGACAATGAGCTTTAAAGCCACTGAAGCAAAAATAACAATGTCTCCCAAAATATATTCATATCCTATACCCCAGAGCCTGTAAATATGTTACATGGTAACAGGGATTTAAAGTTATAGATGGAGTTAAAATTACCGATCAGCTGACCTTGAAATCGGGAGAGTCTCTTGGATTGTACAGGTGGGCCAATGCAAATCAAAAGGTCCCTAATGTGGTAGAGACAACCAGAAGAGAAAACCAGTCTTCTAAAGCTCTGAAGATGCTGCACACCTGGCCGCGAAGACCAAGAGTGGCCAGGAAGCCCTTCTAGCCTCTAGTGGCTGGAAAATGTTGCAAAGACAGGAAATGCACTCTCCCCAGAGTGACTAAAGAAACTAGAAGCTACACCTGTTCTAAGCCCAGCAACACCTGTATTAGTCACTAAAGATAAAGTTCTGCTGTTCTTTTTATTTATTTAATAACCACATCCTTAGAAGAAGCATTTCGTTACGACAGCATTGACATATTCAATAACAATTTTCTGAGCTAAGATGTATCTCTTTCAAAATTGGCTGTAAATTTTTTAGGTTTACAGTTGAATTATTACAGTTATACAATATTGTACTCAGTATAAACCCTATGAGACATAAAATTAAATGAGGTTTTAAACTTTAAAAACGATCTCCATTTCATTATTAAAATACATATTCT